AGTGGTGTACGAGCACAGCTTACAAAAAAATAAGATCAACATATTTTTTGATTTAAAGCTTTTGTGACTGCAGTAATTCATATTCTTAGTTTTTTCGGTAAAGTCACGTCGTTGTTTCCCTTCAACGTGACTTTACCGAAAAAACTAAGAATATCAACATATTTGTCAACAACATTGTGGTCTTTAAAGGAAAAATATCTCTTTTTTTGACCTCGTTCATGGCATCTTTTTTCATGGCACATGCAGAAGGGTCATTGCCCGAAACGTTTCCTATTAAAAAAAACGTGTTATTCCTCTTCAGGCAATTTCTGGCCGACGTAAGTTTTTGCAACATTCACAGTTGAGCTGTGGGAAGAAACAAAACAATGATTTATGGAAAGGCCATAGATAGAGCAGTAATGGCACATGCCTGTAATCCAGCACTGGAGGGGAGGATTGGTGGATCACTCAGATATTGTGAAGCTTCCTTCCCGTGGGTGTCGGCCTTTCTTCAGTTATGTGCTATGGAGAAGGGCCATTGCCCATAATGTCGCCTGTGATGTGTATATTTTCGTTAAGGCAGTCGTATTGACGAATGTCTTGAGTTTTTTTTTAAGTACAATCCAGGCTTTTGGCTTCCGAGGTCTGATAAGACCGGGCGCATTCCGGATGATTTGACCAAAGGCCTGTCTTCATTACACAGTCAATAATCCTTCCAGACAGACACACAGGGCTTTGGATGTGAGAATGGTTTCCTTGGCTGCTTGCATTGGGTCATGCGTGTGGCCAATCAAGTGGTGTGTGTGTGTGGCACAGATAGCGTCGTTTCTAGGTACATAGTGATGCATCGATTCAAATCGGCCCCGACGCTCACGAGACGTGTATCGATTTGCGCGCGTGCGTACGAATTTATAATTTAATTTTATCCGAGTATGCATGTGAGAACCAATTATTATTAACGATATGCATGTGACGTTTAGGGTAATGAAGGGAATGCGATTGTACAAATCAAATAATAAACAATGGTAAGGCAATGTTAACAGTTAGACGGAAAAAATGATTAATCCAATACCGACCCTAAATCATCACCAATAATTAAATCTCTGGGGACAGGGCTGTATTGTGAATCTTTTAAACGATGTATTGCAGTGCGGTTAAGTCCCGTCACATTTACTAGCACAGCTGGAGATTCTGGTCTTACTGCTGAAATGTGAAAAAAATGTAATGAAATGCATTTGGGTTGTGGTTTTATTTATTATTACCCGAAAAGACCGAAGCATAGTGAGGAAATCTACTTCAAAGCGTTTACACTGGCCTGTGGCTCGAGCCATGTGTCAATCGCGTATTCATTTGTGAGCCAGTGCCTCTATAAACGCCTTTGTGATGTGTACAGTGCTGTTAACGCTGCTGGCTTAGCCTGTCGTTTTGGAATCGCTTAATTTACTCACTTTAGCTAGGACTGCGCTATACCGCCATTAAACGCGTTACGAGTAAAAGTAAACAGTTTTGCCGCACGCGTAAACTTAATTTTCTGTTTGTCAGTGTTCCCCCGCCATATGTTTAACAGCGCCATTGTGTGCCTACCTTTTTTACGATCGATAATCTGAAGGGCAAAATGACCTTTGTATTTTTTTTTGGTAAGTTCCTGCTCTGAGCAAATAAGCCAAGTGCCCGAGCGCCGGGACAGCCGATGCCCTTCACCGACCGAGACGGCGCCTGTGTCTCCCAGCTGTGCGCGTAAATGGCTCACCCCCAACCCCAACCCCCGGGGGTGATTCGACTGGCTCGTCGCTATTCCAGGATCGTTATTCGATTCGACAAAGATTCCTTAAAAATGAAAAAAAATATGCTCAATTTGAATTGTTTATGCCATGTATATTGTGTCTTCATTGTTCTGTCGCATTCGCTCTCGCTGTCATAAAGGCATGCTTGCATATATTGTGCATGATTTGTATATGTGGTTGAATCTTTGGCATTCAGTTCAATGTTTATTTCACAAGTGTAAGAATAGGTTTGAATAAATCAAATAATGAATGTTAGACACGATACATTTTGGATTTATATAGCATCTAAATTCCACTTCATCTCAAGACGCTTTTCAGAAATAGGGGACTTTTTTTTAGCGAGGTAATCGTGAGAGGAGTAAAGGGAAGGTCTTGATCCTAAACTTGAACATCAGTGATGGCTGGGAAAACGGAATTCCAGATCTTTGGGGGCAGTAGAGGAGAATGAGCGACATCCCATTGAGTAAAAGTTAACTGTCGGCTTTGGCAGAAAAGTTTGTTTGCTGGAGCGAAGAGTGCATGGAGTGAGGGGAGTAAAATGAGATGAGAGGGGAGATCTAGGCAGGGGCTAGTCCAGGCGTCAGCAACCAAAATAACAAGAAGAGGCATTTTTTTCTAATTCAGTAAAAACTCAATATTTCAAGAGCCGCAGTGCATGTGAATACGAGACGGTTGTCTTTCATAAATACCGTCACGAAGGAGACCTTAAATAGCCGCAGTGCATGTGAATACGAGACGGTTGTCTTTCATAAATAACGTCACGAAGGAGCCCTTAAAGAGCCGAATGCTGCTCTGGAACCGGAGGTTTGTCGACCCCTGGGCTCGTCCATGGAAAATTTTGAAGATGTTAAATTCGATTTAGAAATTGACCCGGGACCGGATTGGGAGCCAGCGATGAGATTGCCTGCTTCAAATTCCGAGAATTAATCACCTCCTGCTGGAATAGGCAGTCAGATCCATCATCTTTCACCAATACAGCACTTTCTTCTCCAGTGGCGTGTGACCACGTGGTACGTTTGGTGAAAACTGTTTGAATTGACATAGTGTCTAAGGTGGAGTTGCAGCTAATGATTGTGTGCAGAAGAAGGGCATATGAATCGTGGGAAACCATGAAACACCAGTAAGGCAAAAACGCGTTAGTATGTTTATATTCGTTTGTCAGCTCATAGGAGCAAACACGACGGAGGAGATGATAAACTAAAAAGATAAGCATTCAAATTAATAAGAATCTTTATATATACTTGAGGAATCTGATGCGCTAGAAAGTTATTTTTCACAAATGTCCATCAGGTGTCACATATGTCCAGTAGGATATCGGATTCTCGTGCATCTTTATATCCACGAATCTGGAATTATAGCAAAACACATTCCTGCGGAGGGAGCTGGTAGGAACGTTGGGTTGCTCTGTCAATGGCCAGGGTCAACGGCGGCACGTGGTGTATTCCGCAAATATGCCCGACTGTGAGGGCGGGCACAAGCCGGCGTGAGTAGGTTAAACGTTGAGTTTTATAAGGGCACCACAGGGTGACCAGCCCCTCCCCACCCAGCCCCACCCCTCCCACCCCCCACCTAGCCCCACCCTCCCCACCCAGCCCCTCGCCACCCTGCCCCTCCCCACCCTCCCCACCCAGCCCCTCCCCACCCTCCCCACCCAGCCCTTCCCTCCCCACCCAGCCCCTCCCCACCCTCCCCTCTCCACCCAGCCCCACCCCTCCCATTTTTGGATGCACGAAGGACGGACACAATAATCCCCTGTGGGCTGGTGTAACCAGGAGGTTCCTACCAGTAATATTTCCTTGTTGTGCTTGCCTCGAGGTTCCTTTTAACAACACATAACGTTTACAAGTATATACTTTCCAGTTTTATTATTATCAATTATATTGTGTCATATCTCTTTCAGATGATGCACTATGCTTTGTCGAAAACGATAAGTGGACAATACATCTCTTCCATATGTGTCTTTCCATATAAATATATATAGTATTTTCCACACAACCCATCCGGCCCACGACTTTCTGGGATTGCGATACTTTCAGCAGCATAGATTCAGTGCAAGCAAACTCTGGACCTGTTTCAACTTACGGTGTCTCAGTGGCAGTCAGGCCTGCTTGAATCAGTGCTGGTGAACTGCCTGATGTTATAGGCAAGGAATGTTCTGGTTTGTAGTTTTGGTAACGTATAAGAATGTAGTTTTGCTGTACTAATTTACACCAAGTTTCCCCTTGATATATATACCTCCTACTCCCAATGGGTTCTTGCCTGGTAATTATAACTCAGGCTCATCTATCATTAAATATTATGATTGCTGTACTTATTTGATCCCAAGTCTCCCTTGAAAATAGACCTCCTACTCCAACTAGGCCCTTTACTTGTCATAAATTAATGCCATCTTATTACGTATTAGAGGTGGAACGAGTCATCAGTTGATAATGATTATGAAGCTCACGAGACATTATTTTACACGTATGAATTGATGTTTATCGATTTGTATATATTGTGTTTAATGGGTGAACTTGACCCCTGCAGTCACGAGTGGCTGCTACATCCACCACACTGTAAAGAGGGATATCGATTTCTGAATCGAATCACGATTGTGCATTGAGACGATTATAGAAATACCCTGGGGGGGTAGGTGGGGTGAATCAGTACACCTTCGATCTTTATTGCAGTGTAATATTCTAACAAGGCAGCTATGCTGGGTGGCTTGGAACGCTTCTCCCATTACTGGTAGGATATTCAATAAGTTGCTTTAGTTTGACTGTTGCAGTGGTCCACAGGTCTTAAATGCACTGGTTGTGAAAGTGTTTCTCTCCTTTAAGTTATTAAACTATTGTCAGTCGAAATAAAATTATTCACCTGCTGCTTGATGTCTCACTCGCCACTATTAAATACATCGTAGATTTTTGTTTAATTTGCTGTTGCGCAAATAGAGGATTTGGAAAACGTGTTTTTTTTGTACGTTCTGTGCTGACGATTGTGAATGTCTTTATTGCACAACGAGAGATCAGAAGTTTTAATTTCATAGAAACCTCATCGTTTTTATACGTGTCCACTGGAAGAAAGCGATATACATGTGACGTGACCTAATACATACAGTGTGTAACTTTTGTCCCTGTGGCAGAAACTACAAACAGAGTGACTCTTTTCAATTATTGGTGATTTTTTTTAGTGTGCCACTCAGCGCTTGACGGACCAGGTGTGCGTGCATTTGCGTGCGCGTGCGATATCCATCACCAGGGGCGGCAAATTTCCGGCGCCAGCCAGCCAGCCCTGAGAGCCCCCCCGGAGCGCCTGCGAGCTGTCGAGGAGTCCAACCGCTCGCTCAAGGCCGAGGTCAAGAAGCTCAAGCAGGAGGTGCAGCGCTACAAGCGCCTGGTCAGTCCTGGCAGCAGCAGCAGCACGCACCATCACCCGCCCCTACCCCCCCCCCCCCCCGCGGCATTCATCACCCGTCAAGTATACAACATAAACAATAACAGTTTCAATTTACGCAGCATCTGAAAATACATTGCGTTTGGATAGAAGGAGGCAATCAGGGATGTTGAGGAGGGGAGGCAGTGGGCAGAGAGACATTGGGAGAGAGTAGAGAGAGGGCGACACCGCGGCCTTGCGTGGGATGAAGCCTCCGGGGCCCAGCACCAAAAACCACGACAACAATAACAACATATTCTTAGTTTTTTCGGTAAAGTCACGTTTGTTTTATATATATTTTGTTATTTTGTTGTTTCTCTTCAACGTGACTTTACCGAAAAAACTAAGAATATGAATTACTGCAGTCACGAAAGCTTTCAATCAAAACAATAACAACAACGAGCCCGAGGGACAGCAGGGACAGCCGGCGCAACGAGTCTCCACGGTACCTTTGAGGAGCCCTTAACCAAAAGTCTATTTCACAGGAGTGAGATGGAACGTGGCGTCGCAGAATCACGAGGGATGATGTTGGTGCCGGGGGGGGGGGGTTGGGGGGGGGGGGGGGCTGGGGGGGGGGGCGACTCTTAACAGCGCATAGAACACGGCTGCTGATGATGGCTTATTATTAAAACAGTGCTCATTATTAAAACGGTGCTCATAATCACACTTACAGCTATATTTATGAACATTGAGTAATAGCTTTATTATGTAAATAGTGTCATATTTTCAAATATTCCTTACGACATGAAAATTTGTGGTTCTAAACAAGACTAACATTATCCTGAATTTTAGTTGTGTCATTCCTCAAATATATTTATCACTTTTATAAGTAGATGTACAAACATACGTACAGTGCCTAGAGTGTAAAACTTCCTTTATATTCATAAAGCATTTAAATGCAACCACGTCTCATGACACTGGACAGTAGCAAGATGTGAGTGGTACTGAATTGCGGAGAATGGATGAGGGAATTTCTATGTGTAACGATAAGTACTTGTAGAATATACATGAGTTTAGTCATGTATATTCACCTCATTCTTCGTGTATACAGCGTGTGCATGTTCACTGCATACAGCATATGCCGATGAATAGCGAGCATTTTAGAACAAATCTTAGGGTGCGTGACCTCATTAGAGTTATCGTGCCGTGTACAAGTGTGGGCATTGATTATGGGGCCCGGTTCTTTTATTTGTTCACGTACAAAAAAAAACACAACTGCATTATTCTCCCACACCCACGGAACGCTTTCCCATGGGTCACAGCTCCATCTGTCCTGAGCAGTGATTACACAACTGCACAGCAGCAGCACTGCTATCGCTGCAGGCAACCCTTTTTGGCCCGTGTCTAAATCACCTATGGAGGGAGGTGGTCAGGTGGCCCAGGGGTCACAGCTCTGGGCTGACGTCCAGGGTTCGAAGCTGGGTTTGATCCGCCTGTAATTAAGACGTATTCTCAAATGAGGTGAGTTAGTGGTCTCAGCCTGGTCGCCAATGACTTGCTTTGTCCATTGCGTGTCAACAATGCGTCGGGCAACTCGCCGTCTCTCCCCCTGTCACGGTCTTGTGCCATTTCAGGGCTCTTCTTACACACACAGCGCCTGTAGATGCTGTATCCTTCTGCACTAAATTTCGATTTAAAGCTTTCGTGACTGCAATGATTCAAATAAAATAACACAATAATATTATTATTGTGTATTATTATTATTGTGTTATTTTATTTTATCAATTTATTATTTTTTTCTCATTCTACGTGACTTTACCGAAAGAACCAAAGAAGATCCTTCTGCACTGTTTGATTCCAATTCATCAGCTGTTGCCGTCGCCGCCTTTTACCATTTACTGATACCCCCATAAAGGCCCTCGTCCAACAGTGGATTGACAAAAAAGGGCTGTACGTCTGCTGTGCCTTCTCATTAATGCTACGCTTATGATATAATTTGTGGCCCAGTGAGTTCAGGTGGCATTGTTTAATGACCGATGTGATTCATGCCTGATTGGTCCTTGTTTGATCTCACCAGTGGCTGCGCACAAAAAACTCAATTACAGTAGCTTCCGCCCCTGAGAATTAAAACGATCACTTTGACTGTCGGTGCAACAAACATGTCTTCTCCAAAAAGCAAATAGATAAGAGAGGCTACTTGAAGGGATGTCAGAAATAGTTCTGCAAGATCTGCTTTCGCAGGCCATTCTCCAACCCACAGGATGATGCCCTGCTCTGCATGACTTCTGATAGTATAGATCATCTCATGATGTTTCGATGAAGGTTATTTGCATTGCTCTCTTGATGCAATTGCTTCTTGTCAAAGAGGGTTTACTGAGAGAGAGACCCAGGCATATACAGTAAGCCCTATTCGGACATTTACATCCAAACACTCGTACTGTGCGAATGTAAATCCTGGCCAAAGCGTCAAGCGCTTACTCCTCATTCCCTTCAATAAATATTCTGAAGCAGATGAGTGCTGGATACAACCGCATTTGCCAATGTGATTTTTAAAATTTGATTCTTAATGTATCGATAGTTTAATGTTAATGTACAATTTTATTGAGGTACTGTGTGTTGTCTTAGTGTGGTCTGGGACTGTCTTTGCTGTTGTTTTACTACCTTTCCCAAGCTTGGGTAATTGATGATGCAATTTGAACTTATATGCCTTATTTATTTAAGGTGCACCAGGGTGGTTTAATGTTATATTCCTCGCCTAGTATGCAGGAGGTCGGGGGTTAGAGCCTGACCCTGACCACTGTATATTTGGAGTTTGCATGTTTACTTTTCCTATACTTTGCACTCCTATCGTGTTTTTGTATTGTTTGTTCTAGTAATGTTCTGACCCGCCCTTACTGCACATCTGTAAAAAAGAGATTTATTGCTCCTCAGTTTCTTCCAGTATAAATAAATATTCTGATTCAGCTTCGTGCCGAGAAGAACAGATGAGTTTGTGCTCGCAGAAGTAATGATAATCATAATTTGAGGACACACAGCATAAGGAGCTAAGCTACTCTGGGCATATATTGAGAACAGGCAGCAGTGGCCTTGACAAGATAATCACAACGAGGATGGAAACACAATACAACACTTGTTGGGGCTCATAAAGCATCTCGGCACACTGTGGTCTGCATCTCGAGACGCCGCACGGAAACAGTCGGCATATTTCTTTCGTACGGAGAGAGAGAGACAGAGGCATAGACAGAGAAAGGAGGCAATAGGACAAGGCTGCCAACAAGACGGGCAGACAGCAGTAAAGAAAGCATGGGAATTAATCTCGCAGTGGGAAAAATGGCACCAGAGCAGAGAGAGTGGAGGGTGCACAGCATGAATGCCACGAACATCCACATGGGACCCGCTAAATTAATAAAGGCACTGTAGTCACTTTGGTGCTGCAGGTGGCAATGTTTTTAGCCCGGCTCCTTTAATGAGCTCCATAATTACCATCTTCTCTACATTGACGATCTGTAGTGTTCAGTCGTACAAATAAAGCTCCGGCCTCTTTCATATGAGGACCACTCCAAGTCGTCTGTTGTTCAGTTCGCACTGATCGTGGAATCCAGGCAGTTTAAATATTGAGTATATAATATAATTTTTAGCCAGCCCTTTGTCTCGTGCATGGGGAAGTGCTCATGTCCGGTGCACAGCCTTTGAGCCAGTTGTAGAAATGCCACATTTCTATGGAGTTTGGTGAGACTTTCTATGGGACAACATCTTTGAACCTGCGTCGAGAGTCGTGTTCATTTTAATTAGCCCAGAGGGATGAAGGGGTCTGAGTAGACTTCCGACCAGGATTTGGAGACTGTCACCCGTCCGATTGCATGCCCCTCGCTCTGCCACTGAGCCAAATCGGCTGGTTAGAAGCATACCTATACGTATACCCGTCTTGTCAGTCCACTGCTGGATGAGGATCTCCCCCACAGCTGTTTGCGATCATGAGGGTTATTTTATCTTGCTTGGTCATGCTGGCCAAATACTGATTGGTAAAGGTGGGAAGAATATTGGCATGGAAGCTAAGGAATTCAGCGCAGTGATGGATTTAGCTGCGCTGCCTTCTGCTTCTCACCATGTAGAGCCCCGCCTAAGCCCTATGACAACCTATTTGTGCGTGTGGTCACCCATCAAAGCGCTGTATCCTCGCTCAGCTCCCTACCCAGCTTCCGAGATCTGATGAGACAGCACACATTCCGGGTGATTTGTTCGTAGGCAGTAGTTAGGGCGAGCTCAAGTGCTGGCTGCGCATTGTGAGGTCCCATCCAACGTGGACTGCCATTGGAGATGTGCCACGTTTTATTCTCGGTCAAGGCAGCTACGACCGTGGGCATTTGACCTCTCATCACTGATCTGCGGTGTCCATTCACATAGACATAAAAACATCGGCCGGTAGAGCAGTCGTATTGTTGAGTCATTTGTGGCGGTGTCGTAAAGTGCGGGTAGGTAACCTTTCATCATAGTCATCATCATTGCCACCACCACCATACCCATTTGATCAATATGGAAGAGTAAAATGACCTTTTGAAAGTGAGTGAGTTGAGCAGTAAATGCAGGACACACATTGTCAATCACCATTGCAAAAGTCTATGTTGTGTGTGTGTGTGAGATGAGTGCTTTCATGTACAGAGTGGCCTCTTTATCCTTGCATAACATCCGGTGTTGCTATATATAGATATCTACTATAAAGAGCTGGGGGTAGATTGGTGCAGCGGTTCGCCCACTGTTCGGTGAACTCGATGACCTGAGTTAGATTCCCGTCCACAGCTAGCATCAGCGGCGAGTGATATCTGAACCGGCCCTGTCCGCCCCACCACTTCACTGAGCGTCACCGGTCAGAGGTGGTGAAGTACGGTCTGGGGAGGTCTTCATCCAGCAGTGGGTTTGCAAAGGGCTGCAAATGAGCCAAATAAAGATTTGTCTGCTTGTACTGCAGCTATGTATACGATATGTGATGCTGTGAGATTAATGGAGTGACTGTGCTTCGTTATGTACCTTCCAATGTGGCTATACATAGCAGCACACTGATCACGGCCACAACGCTTACGTGCGAGCCTTGAAATATGATTGATAATTTGCAGAACTAATGGATTGAATATCACTGCCGCTCTGTTTTGGCACCAATTGGTGGGGTTCAGTTTGATTTCCTCTCGTCTCCCAAGTGTTGTGTACTTCACATGTCTGTGATCTTTCCCGAGTCTTTGTTCCAGCGCTCCTGTGCGGCTTTATTGCTCTATTTATATTGGCGGACGCTTTGATATCTCCGTGGGGTTTGTTGTCTATGCATCTGTGCTTCCGAGTCAGCGTGTGCTTTGTGCTGCGCTGTTTTGCTCCCCCTTTTAGTCTCTCGTCAGTCGTATGTGCACCCTCACGCGTCTGTTAGGTACGTTTTTGTTCTCCACTTACGCACCTTTTATTTTTTTTTATATAAAATAAAGGTCTAGCATGAACACACTCGCTGGTTCAAATTGTTTAGCCAAACAGTGTATTTAAAAAAAAAATCATTTCAGCTCACCATATTTCCATCCGGTCTTAAATGGCAGATACCAAAGCAGATTAACAAATCTAGAATTGAAGCTTTTGTGGCTGCAGGAACTACTATACTCATTGGTTCTTTCGGTAAAGTCACATATGTAGAAATAAAATTAAAATTTAAATAAATCACGACGTTTTGAACGCAACACAAGCGCTCATTATAAGGTGAAAATGGGGCAAAACACATAGCGAGGGAACACACACAGAGGGAGTTTGCGTCTCCCATCTTCTTGCTGTGTGCTCTGTGTGTGATGTCCCTCTGTGTGTTCCCTCGCTGTGTGTTTTGCCCCATTTTCACCTGATGACGAGTGCTTGTGTTGCGTTCGAAACGTCGTGATTTCTTTCAATTTTATTTTATTTGTGATTTATTTAAATATTATTATTTTTTCTACATACGTGACTTTACCAAAAGAACCAATGAGTACAGATTAACAAAGCAGGAGAGAGAGAAAACATTATTCTTAATCGACCTCCATCCTCATCTTTTTCGTTCCGCTTAAATCCAAAAAGCATGTCTGCATAATGAAACCGCATTTTATCCGCAAATAAGTTTAAATAAAAACGCAGAGTATCGCCTGGGATATAGATATGATGCGTTTGTGCCCGACTTGCACTCTAGATTGAAAACTCATTTCTTTAGTACTGCCTTTTGTGTTTAGTTTGTTGTCCTTCCTCTGCAACCTCCGATTAGCACGGTCGGCTACGTACGGTGCGAAAGAAGTTCAACACGCATACATGCAATCTCAAGCTGATGGGTTTAAATCCTCTTTCCGTCTCTCCACCGACATCATAGATCCCCATGGAGGGAGTGAATTGACAGCAACCGAGGCCTCTGTCGAAGCTCCCAGTTAAGCTTCACTTGGCGGGAGGTCACGCATTTCACCTCTGCCGCCCCCACTGTCTGGAATATCTTTCCCCTCAGCCATTTGTGCCGCTGACCTTCTGCCCCCTGGCCAAATCCTGGGTCAAACCCGTCCTCTTTACCTCTGCCTTTGACGGACTGTCGATTTCTTGCTTTAAATAAATAAAGCCTTCTATGAATGCAGTTGCGCTCACACGCTATGTACATCCACACTGCGCTGTATTCTTGTGGTGGGGTAAAATTCGCAAACCCCTTTTGACCTTCCGTGGACCCAACTTGCCAGCGTAGAACAGGAACCTGAATGCGACATTTAGAGAGGTTCAATGCCTGTGCAAACCCCACTCTTGTGAAAGGATGACGCTCGGAAAGCCATCGCATACAGTAACCTACGACCAAACCACTCTTAATGGGGCAGATCTCGTCAAGCGAAGTGGGGTTTGTACCTGGTAAGTACTTGAATGGGAAGCTGCTGGGAACACCATGTTGTTGGCAGCACTGTGCAACAAATTCCATTGTTGTATAGCATTGCTCTGCATCCACCTCCGTTGCTCACGACCATCATCAACGCATGCTGACCAGCGTGGCAGAGTGTAATCAAATCAGATAACCCCCATAACCCCCGCAGGTGTTGAGAAGCCCTCGTTTAGCAGTGGATTGACAAAGGCCTCTACATGAACACATGCGGAGGAGGCTGGATACTATACGTAATCAGTCCCCGGTTCTCCCACCCCTCCACCCCCTGACCTTCTGCCAGGAGGGTGAGCTGAGCAAAAAGAGGAAGGAGGCTGAAGTGTTGGAACAGGACGTCAAGAAGCGGAAGCGCCGATGCCAAGAGTTGGTGAGTAGCGCGTGAAGGAGGAGCAGCTTTCCTGCTGCCCGTTCAAAACAGCGACACAGGGACGCTACTTGACAGTCTCACATGTCATTTAACCTTTGAGGAGAGGGTGAGTGAGTTAGCCTGTCAGACAGGAGAGGGTGAGTGAGTTAGCTTGCCACGAGAGGGCGAGTGAGTTCACCTGTCACGAGAGGGCGAGTGAGTTAATCTGTCAGCAGAGAGTGAGTTAGCCTGTCAGGTGATGGTGAGAGAGTTAATCTGTCAGCAGAGAGTGAGTGAGTTAGCCTGTCAAGTGATGGTGAGAGAGTTAGCCTATCAGGACAGGGTGAGTGAGTTAGCCTGTCACGAGAGGGTGAGTCAGTTAGCCTTTCAGGACAGGGTGAGTGAGTTAATCTGTCAGCAGAGAGTGAGTGAGTTAGCCTGTCAAGTGATGGTGAGAGAGTTAGCCTAACAGGACAGGGTGAGTGAGTTAGCCTGTCACGAGAGGGTGAGAGAGTTAGCCTTTCAGGACAGGGTGAGTGAGTTAATCTGTCAGCAGAGAGTGAGTTAGCCTGTAAGGTGATGGTGAGAGTGTTAGCCTATCAGGACAGGGTGAGTGAGTTAATCTATCAGCAGAGAGTAGGTGAGTTATTCTGTCAGCAGAGGGCGAGTGAGTTAGCCTGTCAGGACAGGGTGAGTGAGTTAATCTGTCAGCAGAGAGTGAGTGAGTTAGCCTGTCAGGACAGGGTGAGTGAGTTAATCTGTCAGCAGAGAGTGAGTGAGTTAAATTTCGATTTAAAGCTTTCGTGACTGCAAGGATTCATCTTCTTTGGTTCTTTCGGTAAAGTCACGTGGAATGAGAATAAAATAATACATTGATAAAATAAAATAACACAATAAAATTATCACGACGTTTCGGCCACAACACAAGTCTGTCAGGACAGGGTGAGTGAGTTAGCCTGTCAGGACAGGGTGAGTGAGTTAGCCTGTCAGGACAGGGTGAGTGAGTTAATCTGTTATGAGAGGGAGAGTTAGCATGTCAGGAGAGGGCCAGCGAGTTTAGGTGTGAGTGAGGAAGTTCAGGTGAGTGTGAGGAAGTTCAGGTGAGTGTGAATTAACCCGTCGGCTGAGTTTGGTCAGCTTACGGAGAGAATGCATGAATACACGTCGGCACTTTCACTGTGGTTTGGTCCCTGGTGACCGATTTGGAGTAGACTGGTAACGTGTGTGTACGTGCATTTATCTACTTATGCGTGCATGTGTGTATTTGAATGTCGTGTGTACTTGCTGAGCAAATGAATGTCGGTGAGATTTATGAAAAAAATCTTCTAAAATTACTTTGGCTAAGAAACTTGAAAAGTTACCTTCCTCAATATAAGCTGTCTAAGACATCTAGACGATCGTGCCGGAGCGACTGATGTGAATTCTAATAATGTTCTAGAGAGACTTAATACAGTCATTGGGAACAAATATAATTGAGTTTATGAAGCAGCACATTTTCATTTTTGCAAGTGTAATTGATATCCATAATGAAGCACGGTAAAGTCAACTTCGTGTTTGGTTGGCCTCACCAATGTTTAGGAAATCAGTTAAATAAGTGTGTTTGGTGGACCCAGAGTGTTTGTGATAACATTAAATTGTTATGATCGGTAACACTATTCTATATGGACTACTTAATAATTATAACCACTCTTCCGATTGTTGCATGTAAACATGTACACAAACTGAACAGCAAATGTTACATGACGGATATTTAATTGCTTTTATTGCGACTCAACACGAGCCCAATACAGAGCACGGGGGGTGGAGGGGGAGGTGGGGAACGGAAACTGTGCGAGAAAAAACCCGAGATCGGCGGCGCCCTGTCGTTACGAACACATGACGAATATTTAGCTTACACTGTGTGACGCTCTTGGAGGAGGAGTTGACGCCATGGATGAGTTGGATTTGCAGTGGTGGGAAATTGGCGATGCACGTCATCGGAGATGGATCACTGATGTGAGCGTGTGTGCAGGTGCTGGATAGATTGGTAACCTGGGAGGTGATGACGGCTTCTCGAGGCCCTCATCTAGCGGTGGATTGATCATTGCTGGTGGTGATGTTGGCTCAGACTGCAAAAAAAACAAAAACCATGGCAACATTTCTGGCATCTAATCGATACAGCCCAGAGGAGAGGTTGCACAGCGTTTTATATTTCGGTGGCAGATTTTGACGAAAGAAATTGTGTGGTTGCTCACTTGCACTGAAATGACCGCTGGTAGGTTATGTTTTTATTTTCGTTGAGGCCGCCGCCGCCGCCGCTGCTGTTACTGCTGTGGCACCTGGTGTGAAATGATTCTCTAACGGGTCACAGTGGGCATATTTAGTCCTACTACATCAACGTCAAGGAGCCTATGAGTTCATTAAAAGTCCATCGGTGTGCGTCGCGTGATGGTGAGCTAGCGAGCCCCATGCCATGAGCTGCCGTTCCCTGCAGTGGTGTTTATTTCTTCTTTAAAACTTCTCACTCTCTCCGTGACACCTTGCATTTCTCGATATAAATGTTATTTTAATTTGCATTGTCCCTTTTTGACGGTTTATTTTGCTCCTGTTGGCTGCGTGAAGCGGATGTGCCGTTCAGTAAAAGTACCTTCCACACTTGTATTTGTTGTGAAAAGTGCATGGTCCTCTGTGGTCCCTGAATGATACTCGAGTTTCCTGTCTACGCCGAGCATTTTACCGAGAGCTTTTGGTCCAGCCAGAGGCTTTGCTGGCGACTGGCAGAATGCGTTCCATTTTTGTAGTGACTGCTTTCTATTAAGATGCCAGCAAAGATTTCCCAATCCTATCCTATTCGCCGTGCCATTTTGAAATTTTATGACACTATTAAGTGCAATTGTGATATCTTAATTACGTATTATGATTTGTGCGGACAAACAAAGCATGGCTGCATTTATATGGAGGCCGATGCTATCTCTCTGTATTTATTGACATTCATTCCCCTGAATGATATTGCTTGTGTTATTTTTCTTGGAATTTTTTTTTAGACATGGAGCGATTGCATCGCCCGGAATGGCAAGTAGTGTTCTTCTTAAAGGTCACGTCAGTTGTTCAACTCGAATGAAAGATAAATGTTACACGAATGGAAAGATATCTTAGCATATAGAAATTTGAGAACATTAGCATTTTCTTGAAGTCACCTTGTGAGGCGTCTCCCTAAGCAAGGACAACGTGTTGGAGGTCATTAACACTCAAAATTGGTGTCGCCCTGCCACAGGCTGCTTTTAAAAAAAAAACGAAAGGCACAACAAGGCATCGATTCATTGATGAAAATCAATCTTTTACACTCTTAATACGTGTCCAATCGGCGGGTGTTAAAAATCGACGTTTTATGACTCGTATGGGTTTGTCATTGATCCATGTGCTCATCTTTCTGTCTCGGTGTAATTTCAAGCGCGCACCTCCGCACGCTTTGATATTTTTTCAGTTATTGTTCCATTATATTTGTCAATGTCCATCTTCTTGAGCCACACGTCATCGCAGGTGATATACCGCCGATTATAAACGTTATTCTACAAGTATTTTGCTTTTCATTTTCGAGTTCAGTTATCCAAGAGCACTCTAACCTGCTCTCATCTGCTTTAATTTAATTATGTTTCATCTCAGCCTGTCTTCAATAGCTGCCCGAGGTGTAAACACTCTGTTGCTACAACAGATGCGGTGGGAGATGTTAACTACCACGTTTGGTATACAGGAGGTTGTGGGTTCGATCCAGACCCTGATGCCTGTATATTTGGAGTTTGTATGTCCTCCCTGTGGTCATGTGGAGTTTTCTCCGGAACCTCTGGTTTTTCCCTTCACATTTAGAAACATGTTTTTAGAGTGTTTGGCTGCTATAATTATCCACACGATAAACCACAGCTTTATAGCTCAGTGTTCCTCACCTGGTAAAATAAAACATAGTTTAGTTTAGATACATTTGATCGTTTAGCAAACTTGTTGGATGCGACTTTTGTGTTGTGCATATTTATCTTGAGACCAGCTTTTTTGCCTTCGTTGTGTTCTTCAATCATATTCTGTAGTTACTTTCCATTGACTGTTATAATCACCGTGTCATCAGCAAATCTGAGATGATTGAATGTTCTTGGTTCTTTCGGTAAAGTCACGTAGATTAAAAAAAAAATAGAAGCAAAAAACCCACGACGTTTCGATGGGAACTCAAGCTGTCTTCATCAGGCGGAGAGAAAAAAGGGCAAGCCTCCAAATGCAACTGCTTATAAGGGTTTCCAAAGTGAGTGGGCGGGGGACGGCGAGCTGGAGGAGGAGAACTTGTGCAGCGTTAACAGCATGGGCGGGGCAGCCAGTCAGACAATGGGGGGGAGGGGGGATGAAGGGGGTAGAGATAGGGGGAGAGAGTGGGGGTAGATTAGACAATGGGGGAGTTGGGAGGAGGACTGTGCGAACACAGCATGGGCGGGGAGACAATGTGGGGATGAAGGTGGTAGAGATAGGGGGAGTTCTGAGGGGGGGGGGGGGGTAGAGATAGAGGTGGAGCTGAAGGCGAGGGCGCAGTCCAAGTGTGTTAGACAATGGAGGGAGGAAGAGGGTAGAGATAGGGGGGAGTGAGACGGGGGGGGGGGGTAGAGATGGGGGGGTTCATTGCACCTCGCTACACACATCCACACTGCTGACGGTAGAGGTTGACAAGAAAGCACAAATCAAGTCACGACCCAAAGTGGTTGATGACATCTTTCCAATGATTGCTGAGTTTAAAACCGATGTCTCGGTTGAAATTGTGTCTGTATATATGGATGGCTTCGTGAACGAATCTTTCTTGATATCCAGTCGACTTGTAAAGTACCATCGTATTAAAGAAATGATTTAATGCTTAACATTTTTCAGCCCTTAAGCAATCACATTTTTTGGGAAAAAAAATAATCTTCTGATGCCACTCTGAATAACTTTGGCAAGAGTGCATATTCTTGTCTGACTCTGTTTAGTATCTCGGTGTGTCTTTTTTACTACTACTATTTTTATTATTACTA